GCAAATATGAACAATGCCCACTCCCAAAGTACCACGGGGTGGGGGACGCAGTACAGGGGGGCGGGGGGGATGGGGGGGATGGACCTTGTCAAAGAAGCACATACATAAATGCAAACTAGCAACAGTGGTAAGTGTTGCAGACAAGAAGTACTCGGTGCTATAAAGAGCCTGGAATGGGTGTCCTGGCCTACGTGGGGGTTGGTGGTCCCGGTGTTGCAGCTGAGAGGTTAAAGAGAGCTGGTTAGCTCAGAGGGATGCCAGAAGGAAGGGCCTGCCAGGCAGAGTGAACAGCCTGTGCGGTGGCCTGAGGACAGCAAGAATATGGTGACTGCAAGGATGACAAGGAAGCAATGTGGCCGGAGCCCCGAGGTCGGAGGCTAGAGCGCTGGGAAGCGAGGCTAGAGAGCAGTGGGGGCCAGGCCTCACTGGCAGCATGAGGGCTCTGGGTCCTGGGAGGTGGGGCACTGAGAGAAGACCCAAAGGAGAGGTGGGGAATCCCTGCTGCCCGGGAAGAGAGCAAGCAGCCCTCTTGCAGTACCAGGCTCAGACAGCAGAGGTCAGTGCTGCACAGGGATGGGCTGCAGATGGGAGGGAAGGAGGAGGTAGTCGGCAAGTGAGGCTGGCTTGGTGGTTGCGGTGTAACCCGGCTGTGCACAGACTGGGGAAGCCTGGACAGTGGCAACCTGGGAGGCAGATGTGAGGAGCTGGCAGAAGGAAAGGAGGCAGGGGACAGAGGGTCTTCCCAGAGTGGCTCAAACCCACTACTCAGCCTTGCGTATGTGTGATGCCTGCACCTTCCTAGGACAATCCTGGGACTGTGGCGCGGCCAAGGGAAGAGGAACCTGGGGAGAGGTGGCTCCCTGAAGGGGCAGCCTGGAAAATCTATTTGGGTCTAGGAGTAGTGCAGAAAAAAAGCATCGGAGCACTTACCAGAAAAAAAGCATCGGAGCACTTACCAGAGACAAGAATAAAAGCAAGGCTGGCCCTCCTGGTTACCTGGCTCCTACTGTCCTAGTGCCATTTTCCGACCCAGCCTCTCCTTTGCTCCTCATGACTTGAAACCACCTTGTTGTGTGACGTTGGACAAGTGTTTCGTCACTTGTAAAATGAGAAAACCGCTTTGAGGACAAAGTGATATGGTGGTTCAAATCACCGGGCACTGACTTGGCCCACGGTAGAGTCTCAGTAATGGTGGGGAGTTCTCTGCTTCCTCCTTGAAGGTAGGAGTACATGCTAATAATTATTGATTTGTTGGTAAGGAAATCGTAACCCATGCGGGGGTGGGGGGAGTAATTCCTCCCATATCGCACCTCAAGTTAGTCTCAGAGGTGGGACCAGAAAGAGGCTCTCATGGGTCCAAATGCCCCTCCACCCCTCACCCACAGGAGGGGTTGCCGGGGGCCGGGGTCTGCTCCAGAGACCCCCTAGTGGCTTGGTCCTCCTCCTGTCCACAGACACTTTACCGACAGACCCTGGATGCCCTGCAGACACTGCTCAACGCCCTCTTTGTCGAGGACCCCACTCCTGCTGGGCTGAAGAGCATCTTGGAGGTGTGGGGGCAGGGAGGAGAGGAAGGACAGAGAGGAAAGGAGACCTGGCTGGGGGGCGGTGGGGAGGCTGTGCCCAGAAGGAGGGGTTTGAGTTCTGGGTGTCATCTCGTGCCAGTGTTCTGCCTCCCTGTCGCTCGTGCAGACCCTTTTCCAAACCCCTTCTCTGTCACTCTCTCCCTATCCCCCGTGTTCCTGTTCTAGCTGCCCCTATCGCTTTGCCTTCTCTACTCTCGTCCCTGTCTCTCTCTTTATCGTGACTCCCCACCGTTCATCTCTCTCCCCACTGGCCTTCGTCCTCCCTCTCGTCTTCCAGTCCTGGGCCCCGTGTCTCCCTATGCTCCAGGAGGAGGAGGAGGAGGGCTGTGGACAGTTGCCTTTATGCCCTCCCTGCAAGCTTCCTGCTGATAGGTGAAGGTCGACCTGCCCACCCAGGCAGGAGAGGCTGGCCTCCAACCTGTAGCTCTGAGTCTCGTCCTTGTCCTCACAGCCCCTGGGGCCCTGGATGAACTCCGGGAAGACCCATGAGCGAGCACGGGCTGTGAACAGCAACGTCTCTGTGTTGAACCACATGTTTCTGACCCTGCCTTTCTTTGTGAGTGGCCCCTGGGAGGGGAGGACACTCATAGGGAGAATCTTCCTGGCTCCAAGGGAGCCCATGCATCTGTCCAGAGATTGCCAGGTGACCCTTGTCATCCTCAGAGGACTCTGCTATCAGGGCCAGACCATCCAGCTCTGGTCACTATTTACTGTATAGTATTATTGAACCTTTAAGACCCAGTCCCTAAAGTTATGACACAAACAGATGTCCTCGGGGTTTCCGGCGCTGGGGCTTCTGCTGGGGAGGCTCATCCTTCGCATTGGAGATCCTGATGAGGGGATTGGCCGGAAGGCTCTCGACGGCATCATCATCCTCTACACTATCCTGGAGCTCCAAAAACGTAAGCCCTTTGGCGTGCCTCTGAGGCGAGGCTTCTGGGCAGGTGCTCAGCCTGGGAATCTGCTGGAGCCTCGAGTGGGGTCTGCAGAAGCTGGTAGGAAGTCTCAGTCCCCACAGAACCAGAGGAGAAGGGCTACAAACAAACCTATTTCGATTTAAGCAATCCTTCTATCCGAGCCCCTCCTCGCCTTCCAGTGTCATTTTTAACAATTATTTTTATTTACGAAAAAATTTTTTGAGAGAGAGAAAATGAATGAGTGGGGGAGGGGCAGAGGGAGAGAAAGAGAATCTTAAGCAGGTCTCACTCTCAGCGCAGAACCCGATGCGGGGCTCCATCCCACAGCTCTGGAATCACGACCTGAGCTGAAACCAAGAGTCAGGCACTCAAGCGACTGAGCCACCCAGGCGCCCAAGTGTAATTTGTGACTCCCATTTGCACAGCCCTACGATGGCACCATATGCCCACTCGGGCACGGTAGCCCTCATGTGCTGAGAGCCGGGCAAGGCTGTGTCTTAATTCACCACCGCATTCCGAAGGCCCGGCCCTGGGCCTGGGCACGGGGTGGGTGCTCCGTGAATCTTCTATTGAACGAATGAACAAAGAACAGGTCCCACGTTAGCGTCTGGAGTAGCTAAGACCTGCAGGTGGGAACAATGCCGGATCCAGCTTTAGGGAGCCGGTGACATGAAATGAGCTGACACAGGCACCCAGCTGGCACTGAACCTAGGGGCACAGAGTCTCCGCTGTTACCTGCCTCCTCCCTTTCTCCACAGTCCCGACCTTGCCCAAGGGACTTCGGCATGTTGTTTCAACTTTCCTGGCTCTGGAGGCAGAGTGACCGGGCAATCTGAAATCACATTTAACTGGGTATCTTGTATTTTCTCTGGTGACCCCCAGACCCGCACTGTTAGATTCTCAAGGGTGACGTGGTTTGTCCACGCCCACTGAGTGTAGCCAGCAGCAAAGCTTGGCTTTGAACCTGGGTCTGTCTGATTCCAGGTGTCAAGCTTCCTCCCTTTACAGACAACCCACACATCTGGTCCATCTAGTCCCTCTGCCTCGACGGCCCTTTCTTCTGTTTATGTCTTGCATACCCTGGGGGGGGGGGGATCCAGGTAGGACCCAGGCTGGGCCACAATAAGGCCTTAGGAAACGAGCCTGAAATATGTTTCCTTCAGCAAAAAACATGCCAGGTCTATTCTAGACACCAAAAATACAGCAACGAAGTCAAATAATCCTCCCTATTGAACTTAGCTTCTTGTCGTCAGGAGACAACCAAATAAACAAGTAATACATAAAGTCAGATGATGATGGGCACTAAAGGGAAAAAAGGCAGAAAACGGAGTGTGGGAAGGCCAGGGTAGTGTAGAGGTATCACTACACACGCACCAGGACAGCAAACGGGAAACGCGCAGCTCGCTTCATGGGATGTGCAGCCACGGGGGCCCTCGTGCCCCGCCCGTGGACGCATGTCTGGTCCCCACCGGAACACCATTTGTCAGCATCCCCTGAAGCTGAGCCTAGATCCACCCTAGGGCCCAGCAGGTACACCCCTAGCTACGTACCTAACAAATGTGTGCCTGACATTCCCCAAAAGGCACGGACTAGGCATACCAGAATGTTCGAGCAGCACTACTGCTGGAGACGACCCAAATGTCCGTCGGAAGTAGGAGAGAGAAATAAATGCTGGTGACTTCACACCGTGGAAAGTGACACGGCACCAAGACATCTAACCTGTGGGTTTAGGAGCCAGGACAGTGGTCACCCCGGGTAGGGGAGGGGACAGAGGACTGAAAGGGAGCCAAGAGGTGCTTCTGGGGCGCTGACCACATTCTGTTTCTTGGCCTGGGTCCTGGCTTACATGAACATATTCACTACGTAACAATGGGCCAAGCTGGTTACCTACGATTTGTGTACTTCCTACATCTATGTTTAATAAAAAGTTAAAGAAAAAGGGTGGGGGGGTGGTCGGGCCTTACGGAGCAGGCTTTCTTCTTGCAGGAGCCAGAGATAAGGAAGAGACCAATAATAAGAAGGAGCTGTATGAGAGCAACAAGCGATTCCTGGGGCCCTACAACCCTGTCTGCCCATGCCAGAATATTCTGCGTGTGATCGCGGTGACCGCCTGCTGCCCATCAGCCCCGGGGCCCTCCTGGGAACAGCCCGCCCCAGTGCCTGCTCTCCGCCTTCCCTCTTTCCAAGCTCAAGTCCCCTTTAAGGAAGCCTTCCCCAACCACATGGGCCCCACCCCGAGTGCCCCGACCTCCCCTGGTCTGTGCCCCTCTTCTGGGAGCAGGGGCCATGTCGCCCCTTCTTTTGTAGCTCCTCCCCAAAGGGTTGGACACCCACAGATGAACGGAGTATGCGTGGCCTGCCTGCTGACTTCTGCGTGCGTTGCTAGGGGTCTGTCCATGGGTGTCAGTGCCTCTGTGCCTGTTTCAGGAATTTGGAGACTTCCTGGGACCCCAGCAGGTGAAGGACCTGCTGTTAGCAGCCCTGGAAGGCTTGAAAGGCAGCTCAGAAGCCCGGGAGAAGGACTTGGGGGAGATGATGCAGCTGGCCTCGGAGGTCACCATCAGCTCGGTGCTGGAGTGGTACCACCACAGGGTGGTGGAGGTGGTAAGGCCCCCTGCGGGCAGGGGCTGGGCAGGGAGACCCCGCAGGGCCTGCTCATCCCTTGGGACCGGCCATCTGGCAGTGGCAGGATGGGTGGTGCCGGAACCCCAAGGCACCAGGGCGGGGCAGGGGTGGTGGTGGTGGTGAGTTCTAGGTGCCTCGACTTGCAGGTGAGAAAGAACTCCCTTGATCCGGTGGGTGTGGGGAGGGCAGTGAGGACCCCTGGCTGTCTCCCAGGGAAGGAACAGGCGTGCCTCTCCCCCCTCTCTCCCCCTCTCTCTCCTGGGGCCCTCCTCTGTCTCTCTCCTCTCCCCTGCCACTCTATCCTGTCACCCCCACTTCCTGCCTTCTCTCATCTCCATGATCTCCCCATGCCTGCCTCGGGCCTTCTCCAACCGGCCACCCGCCTGCTCACGGCCGCCCCCGGCTGTGCCCCAGATCCCAGAAATCATGCAGGCCATCTACATGCAGCTGAACCACATCCAGGAGCCACGGGCCCGCGAGGTGGCCCTGCTGCCCGTCTCCCTCCTGGCCAGCTCCTTCATGACCGAGGTGGTGGTGGCCCTGCTCACGTGTCCCCTCCCGCTGGACAGGTACTGACTGAGGGGTTCCCGCCACCACTCCCAGGTTGGAGCAGCTCCCATCCTGGGCTAGGAACCTGTCCTTCCACCCAGAGAAGGCCCTTGCCCTCCCAGCTGGTCGCTTTTCCGTAAGATCTGTGGTGCTTCTGACAGCCATTCAGCATTTCCAAAGCACTGGATACGTCCGTGCAAGGCGCTAATACCTTCTCTCCTTGGTACAACAACCCCATTCTACAGATGGGCAAACTAAGGGGAAGTCTCTTGTCCTCGGCACCCAGTGAGCAAGCAACAGGATGAGGACCTAAACTCAGATTTGACCAACTCCAAGCCCAGAGCTCTAGGGGTGCCGTAGAAAGGAGGCTTGAGTGTTGGTCCTGACCCTGCCTCCACCTGCTGTGTGGTCTTGGGTGGTTTACTTGCCCGCGCTGGGCTTCAGTTTTCTCCTAGAGGCAGAAGGGGAAATACTCCCTGCAGAATTCCCACCCCAGATGGCTGGTTGTGACAAGTAATGCAGCCAGCTGAGCTAAGTGCCTGCCCAGGGCTGGACGCTGCAAGGGGCCTGATGGGCAGAGGGGACTGTGGCCAGAGAGGCCAGACTGACTGCTCCAGCCTCCCAGTCCAGGAAACACTCCCACACGTTTCTGAATGAACAGAACAAGGCAGCAAGTTGTGGGACCCACGCCTTAAGATGGTTGTTTGAGCATGAGGGCAGAATTGTGCAGGGCTGTGTGACGAGGTGTGTCTAGTAGGGACAGCTGGTACCATTCACAGAGGCCAGGGAGATCAGTTAGGAAGGTGAGGGCCAGGGTGATGCATCCCCCTCCTCCCACCCAGAAGAATTTAACCCTTTTTGGCCACCCCACCCCCACCCCAGAGGGTTTCTTCTTGGAATCACTAAACCTTCAGACTCATAAGACCGGCGGAGGCGGGGGGTGGGGGGCCGGGGGGCGGGGGGGGAGGGCACACCTGACATCGGAGTCACTCAGGATATAGGACAGAGCAATGACAGGGGCTCCTCTTCCCAGGAGTCCTTGCAGCAGCCCATGCAGCAGGCCAGACAGCACTGGGACAAAATTTAAGGCGGCCTGGCTCTCAGGGGCCACACCTCCACTTGCATGAGCCCCAGAGAGAGGGTCTCCTTACATCTTGTGCCCTGGAGGCCTCACATTCCCCACTCGGAGCTTAAGAGCTGGTCTCTTGGGCCTCTCAGGTGAAAGGTATAGGAGCTGCCCTGGCTTAGATGGCTCAGGCCTCCTGGGAACCGCTGTCTCTCACAAAAGCTCTATAGACTTGGCTTCTGGGGTCCCCACGGGGGGCGAGCCCCGTCCCAAGAGCCACCGCACCCCGGGAAGCTCAATGCTACAGCGTCCTCCTCGGTTCTTAGAGTTAATTTATAGTTCCTCCCAGCCCAGATGCAATTTACCAATTGGGTCATTTTTACTATAAGCGATGTTGCCTAGCAACATAGTTGACATACTATCTTTATCATGTTTCCAGGGGAACAGAGCTGGAAAGTTAATGGAAGGTTCACATGCTCATGCAGAAGGGGGAAAGGGTTCTGTTAACCCGTTAGTGCACTGGCTGGTCAGTGCTTTCAGCTCCCCGTGACAGAAGTGCTCACAGGCTGGCCCAGATGCTCTCCCCTGCCTGGAGTACTGACTTCTAGGGGACAGGAGCAGGCACTCCTTGAGATTGTGTGACCAATGCAAGGTCCAGGTCCTAAGGGGCCCTCCTGGCATAGAGGAATGATCACAGGTTTTGAAGGCTGGTCACTTCCTGACTCTAGCTCATTAGCTGTGTAGTCTCGGACTGGTGATTTCACCTCTCTGAGCCTCAACTCCCATCTGTAAGATGAGAATAACAACCCACCTCGAGGGTCATTTGAGAATTCAGTGACCTTGAATGTCTTGAATATCTCGTTCACGGCTATATGCCCAGAGGTTTGCTTAGTGCCTGGCGTATAGCAGGTGCTCCATATTTGCTGAATAAGTCGTGTATAAAGCACCTGATATGATATGGGAAATAGGGTTTTCAATAATTGTTAGCCCCCTGCCTCTTAGAGAGTGTTTTCTGGACCATTCCTTGCTGACTCACCCATGGGTGCCATTTCGAGGGCATCTTGTCTTCTTCCCAAAACTGCTGGGAGGCTGGGTGGGGCTAGTGCCCTGGTCCCCACTAACCATCTCCCAACCCCTGACCTCCCAGCAACAGCGCAGAGATGTGGAGGCAGCTAATACTGTGCAAGCCCAGCTGTGATATCCGAGACCTCCTGGATCTGCTCCTGACGAGCCTGAAGGAGAAGCCCTTCACCAAGAAGGGCCGGGCCTCGATCGTGCCCTTAGCGGTGAGGACCCACCTCGCCTACCCCATGACTGCCTGGTCCTAGGCTACTCCCTCCTCCCTGCCTGCTGAGCTGAGCTCAGCACACCCAGCTTCTAGGGCCCTGCTCTGCCAGGAACTAGTTGTGCACCTTGGGCACACTTGTCCATCTCTGGGCTCTTGTTTGTGACCCACTGGATGGCCCAGTACTGCCGCTTACAGGGACAGCAGCAGCCTGGGAGGAGGAGACCAAATGACCTGGGACACACAGACCTGAGTCTGAGATCTGGCTTTGCTGAGTTAGTATTTTGTGACCTAAGGAAGTCACTTCACCTCCTTGAGGCTCAGTCTCTGCATCTGTAAATGGAAATGATAAAGTCTGCTCCCTATGGTGGCTGAGAAGGTGGCTGCCAGACTCAGAGGTCAGCCCTGAGAACACAGGAGGCAATGCGACTGCAGGAAGGTGACTGGGTGGGAGGATAGATTTCTCTCCGCTTCTATCATTGGCACCTTGGTCCTAGCCAGCTAGATAATACCCCTGCTCATTTCCCTGCTTCCACTCCAGCTCCTCCTACAATCTGTACCACAGCCAAAAAATCTTTGAAAATGCACCTCTGCTCTTCTCAATACCCTCAATGCCTTCCCATCGCCCTTGAGAATAGCACGGTGTCCCTACCTGTGCTTAAGGCCGTGCACCCTTTGCCAGCCTCACCACACTCCGTGGTCCCTCTTACTTAAGCCCAGCCTTGTTGTTCTTCGTCAGAAGTTCATACACACTATGCAATCTCCGTCACAGGGCCTTTGCACATGCTGTCTCTCTCCTGAACTTCTCTCCACTAACCTAAATCCTACTCATCCCCCAGCTCTCAAGTCAAGCATCACCTCCTCGGGGAAGCCCGCCCTTATCTCCCTGACATGATCAAATCTGTGCATCTTATACTTTGCTTCACATACTTTATCTTGGGAGAGTTTACCCCAGCTGTGATTTGACAATAGTGTGTGGAGTCCTTTGAGTAATCTGTGAGATGCACGAATTCAGTGCCTGAACCTGTTTTGCCCACCGGGATATCCCTAATGTCTAGCGTATACAGGTACATAGCAGACATTAAAAAAAAAAATTGTTGAACTGATTCATTTAGTCAACAACAGTAATTGAGCACCTACTGTGTGCCGGGCACACATAATTTCTGGGGATTCAGCAGAGAACAAGGCATGCTGGTGGAGAGAAGCAAAGACATGGTGGGTGGAGGGGTGGGTGATGTTACCCCTTAACAGAGGAGGACAGTGTTGCTGGGTGACATCCCAGGTCTTAGCCAAGGTCACAGAGCTAGTGAGTGGTGGGGCCAGGGCTCGGACCCTGATCTCCTAGCTCTGAATCCTGCGTTTTGCCACCGTGTCCCTTTGCCCCTCTCCCCCAGCACTGAGTTCTACGAATAAGGCATGGGCACCCGCTCCTTCCCTGATTTGGTCACTCATCGTTTCCTCTCTCAGCCGTTGTGTGTTAGTGTATTCTTGAGTCACCCGTTTGTGCTTTTTGTTCAAGCGTAGTCCGAGCATGGATACAGTGCGGACTCATTTTTATCTTACGGTGTCGACAAGCCATTTGAGCAAGACTGAGCCAAGAGCAGAGCCCTGTAGCCCATCACTAGAGACTTCTCTTTTTCCTGCTGACCGTGTTCTTTGGATACAAGCATTATCTTTGGTCTACTGAAAAATGTAAAGGCTCTGAGTCCCAGAAGCTTAGCTTAGCTTGCCGCTCCCTCACTATATAACCATCTCTAGCCTTGGTATTTAGATCTGTAAAATGGGCAGTAATAGCTCCTGCCTTGTCTATCTTACCTGTTCGGAAAAGTGAAATAGTGTGTGCGGAAGGGCTTCCCGAGCTGTAAAGTACAAACTGCCATTCGTGGTCCCCACCCAGCCCTCCTTGTGTGACTTGTTTCCCTGGGAACATGCCAACTTCACAATCCAAGGCTTCTCCCTTGGGCGGCTGCCTGGGGGCATGGATCTTGGCCATTTCTTCGTAAAGAAGGCTTCTTTCCCACCCTTCCCCTCATTCACCCTCCATTGCCTGTGGGGCTGGCGGGAAGAGGACCAGAGACCCCAGTTTACAGAGGATGAATGAATCTGAGGCCCAAAGAGGGCTAGGGAGTGGTGGACCAGAATGAGCCATCCAATCTTGTGACCCCCGCCTGTCACCTCCCCCTGCCCCTGCACTCTCCTCCTGCCAGTGAGGCCTTAGTGGGCCGAGTGGGAGGCGGGCCCAGGCCAGGACAGACTGCATAGCAGGTGGAGAAGTTGGAAGGTGAGCACCCGTCAGGTCCCAGGGAGCATCGTGGGTCAAATACCAACAAAACCAAGCTTCCGGGACTTTGGAGGGCTGGTGTGGGGAGTCATGGATGGAAGGGGCAGGGGGGTGATCAGTAGGCGTGGAGTGACAGAGTCCAGGTCTGGGCCTCCCTGGCTCCCACTCAAGGCTGGGGTTAATTTCTCTTGGTTGCTGGGCACCAGGGGATCCAGTGACGGTGGCCTGGTTTAATGGGCCAAATTGAAGGGGCAATGGGTGCCCCCTCACGGTCTCTGTGCCTGTGTTATGAATGAGGAAGAGGCAGGGCATCCTGTACCTGGTGTCTGAGTCCCAGACACCTGGGACTTGAGTCCCAGCCCTGCTCCCAAGGGCTGGGTGACCATGGGTGTCTTCTCCCTTCTGAGTTTGTCTCCCCACCTTCACAACGGGATCAAGACCCCGCGTGACAGGGGCACCTGGGCGGGGCTCAGGCGGTTAAGCATCTTAACTTCGGCTCAGGTCATGATCTCAGGGTCCATGAGTTTGAGCCCCGAGTCTGGCTCTGAGCTGACAGCTCAGAGCCTCGCGTCTACTTCTCGGGTTATGTCTCTCTCTCTCTCTCTCTCTCAAAGATAAACAAACATTAAAAAATTTTTTTAAAAGACTCCACCTGACAAAAGGTGGGAGAGGATCCCTCTACCATGATTGTTCCAGGGTTGTGTCAACATCAAGGAGGCAGGCTATTGTTCTCGTGTAGGACTCACCCAGACAGCCAGGAGTTGGGGTGCGGTAGGGGGCGTAGAGAGCTGGGCTCTCCCAATTAAAAAAAAATTTTTTTTTAATATACTTAATTTGAGAGAGAGACAGAGCAAGCAGGGGAGGGACAGAGAGAGAGAGAGGGAGAGAGACAATCCCAAGCAGGCTCCACACTGTCAGCACAGAGCCTCATGCGGGGCTAGAACTCATGAACTGTGAGATCACGACCTGAGCCGAAACCCAGAGTCGGAGGCTTAACTGAGCCACCAGGCGCCTCTGGTCTCTCCCAATCCGAGCCCGAGAAGAGCAAAGGTCCACGTCCAGCTTGCTAGCGAAGCGACCCGGGCCCCCACCAGAGCCTGCAGCCAGCCTCCCCTCCGCCCCCAGGCAGCCAGCGGGCTGTGCGAGCTCCTGTCGGTCAGCAGCTGCGTGGGCTTCGTGAGGCGCGTCTACCCCCAGCTGCTCCTGGCCCTGCTCATTCAGGTCCATTACCACATCGGCCTCAACCTGCCTGGCCGCGTGGCTTTGCGCAAGGACGCCAAGAAGGACGCCCAGCCCTCCGTCTTCGTACCCGTGCGGTATGTCCACTGGGGGGGAGCCACCCAGCGAGGGTCCTTTCGAGCGTCGTCAGGGCGATCGATCAGTAGAAATTAGCTTTGGGACTAAAGGAGAAAACAGAAGCACACTTTTACGAGAGCCAGTACATTTCTTCAACAACTGTTTGGGAGCACCTGCTGTGATGTGTGGGCCAGGCTCTGGCTGACACTGGACAATGGCAAGCAATCAGCTCACAATTTCGTTTCTCCCCCGGGCTCTCTAGAGATATTGTTTGTATTAGAGTTGTATCCACGGCCCACCATTTTATTTTCTATTTTTTAATATAGTACCTTTTCAAATGTTTATTTTTGATAGAGCAAGCCCACATGCAAGTGGGGGAGGGGCGGAGCGAGTGGGGGACAGAGGATCCCAAGCAGGCTCTGGGCTGACGGCAGAGAGCCCGATGCGGGCCTTGAACTCATGAACCGTGAAACCATGACCTGAGCCGAAGTCAGACGCTTAACCGACTGAGGCCCCCAGGAACCCGCCCCCCCACCGTTTTATTTTTAATTATTAACCGGTGTAGGTAATATATGCACATGGGTAAAAGTCTCAAAAGACGTTGGAGGTGAGTCTCTTTTCCTCTCCTTACCCAGTGACCCTCCCCAGAAAAACCGGGTTCTTTCATACCCTTCCCCAGCTGGTTTATGCAGAGATAAGCACACATTTAGATTTCTGTTTTTATACCAACGGTAGCGGACTTTACAGTTAGACATTTTTGCTTTGAGCAGCTACTATATCTTGGAGATCATACATGTAGAGCTGCCTCATTATTTTTAACAGCTGCATAATATCCCCGTAAGTGCAGTTTCAAGGTACCATAGTCTATTTAACCAGGATCCTCTCGATTTAGGTACTTTGCAGCCCTTGGCACTTACAGACGGTGCTGCAGTGAGCTCGTGTGTATGTCTCTAGGCGTGACTGTACATGTAGGACGAATTCTTGAAAGTAGAATGGGCGTGTCCAAGGGTCCCTGCATCGAAATCTCGAGCTGGGACAGGCATGCGCAGTGGAAAGTGCTGGTGAGCCGTGAGTGATGAAGGGGAACACGGCAGCACCCCCTGCGGCACCCAGTTTGCCGAAGCGCCCTCCCCAGAGGGCACAGAGTGCAGCCGTGTGTGAGAATGACTGTCCCACGGCTTTGCCGGCACAAGGGAACAGACACGTTTATCTCTGCGGATCTGAAAGTTGGAAAAAGCGCTGTGATTTTCATTCGCGCCCCTGTTATTTTGAATGAGGTGGAAGGTGAAATGCCGTTTGTGTTTCCTGTTCTGTGAGCAATGTTTGCCCCGTTTTATACGGGACTGCTGGGGATTTTTCTGGTGAGAGCGTTTTCTGTGCTGAGGACGTTAAGTCTTTGTCACTCGTGTTCCAGTTTGTCACTTAACCTGCAACATTTCATGGTCGTTTGCCATCCAGAAGGTTTACGTTTGTGTGTAGTTGAGTTTATCAGTCTTTTTGTTTTTAATGTTCATTAAAAAAAAGTTTTGTTTTTTTTGAGAGAGAGAGAGGATGCAAGTGAGCAAGGGGCAGAGAGAGAGAGAGAGAGAGAGGAAGGGGCGGGGCGGGGAGAGAGAGGGAGAGAGAGAATCCCAAGCAGGCTCCACATTGTCACGTTGGGCTCGAGCTCATGAACCGTGAGATCATGACCTGAGTGGAAATCAAGAGTTGGACGCTTAACCTATTGAGCCACCCAAGTGCCCCTGTCAGTCTTTTCTTTTTTGGCTTCTGTTGTGTAATGCTCAGAGGGGTACACGTTGAGGGGTGGAGGGCGAGTCCTTGTGTGGCGGGGCTTGAAGTTAGAGCACCTTGGATTTGAGTGCTGGTTCCATCATTTAGGCTGTGTCCGCTGGGTAAACTGCTTTAGCCTCTTGGCGGCGTGGTGTTCTTGCCTACGAAATGGGGGCAGTCTTCCTGCCCCACAGGTGTGCTGGAAGGACAAACAGGACCGCATCCCAGCGCGACACCACGTGCCAAGGCCGGGCCACCCATGCTGACTCCACCAGCACTCGTGAGGCCGGCACCCCTGACTCAGAAAGCCGGCGGGCTCCGGGGCAAACAGAATCAGAGGAAAGCAGAGGAGGCGCTGGGTGGGGGAGGGAAGGGGAGCACGTGGCGGAGAAGTTCTCGACTGTCTAGCGATGAAGAGCGTGGCCTCCCTGAGCCAGGCTGTCCGGGGAGCGTCCCCCGCCCCGCATAATGATGTCCACTTCTGCGCCCTGCGGCAGCCCCGCACTTGGACGCAGCTCCGCGTTGGGTCGTTGGCCCCCCCATCCCGCTGTAGGGTCAGGGCAACACATGCTCCGCTTTGCTGGGAAAAGCTGAGAACCTTCCAGGGAGGTGACGCTCCCGGAGTGGGTGTTTCGGGGAGACAAAGGAGCCGCGCCCCTGTCCCCAGACTTCCTCTTAGGGTCGCCTCCCCTTTTTTGCAAAGCAGCACAGACCTCACTTGGGGGCTCCTAGCGCTGTATCTTTGGGAGGGGGGTGGGGAGGAAGGAGGAACTGTAGTGGCATATTTGTTAAAATTTGGAGGCTGTTGGAGGAAACGGTGGAAGCGTGGAGAGGCCGGACCAGGCCTGACGTGCCGCTGCGTCCGGGTCAGGGGAGGGGTCCTTCAGTGCCTCCAGGTTGGCGAATCACTCCTTACGTGCCCTGAGGGGGTGAAGGACTCGGGGGCCAGCGCAGGTGACTGTACAAGTGAGCAGAGAGGACTGTCCTGCAGGGCGCTGCCCGGTCATGGGCGTGAAGGAGTGGGGACGGGTGAGGCAGGACCCCGGGGCTCAGCTGGGGAGGCCTGGCCCCCACCTCTCCCTCTAGGGAAGAGGCTCAGGAGAAACGGGAAGATAAAGCAGCATTGCTGAAAGGAAGGGAGTTCTGCTTCTGTTTACTCTCTTTCTCAAAGCTAACAATCATTTTTAAAAAGCCTCTTTGTCTGGAGACACCAATTATCGCTATCTAACAATCAGCATGGCCGAGAGATGCGGGTCTGGCCAGATGGGAGCTGCTGGGAGGGAGTCCCGGCCTGTGGGAGCAGGTGGCGGGAGATCTCAGCCCCCTTGTCTTGGCAGCTGGGTGGTCAAAGTGGTGAAAACCCTGCTGCTGAGGATGGGCTGCTCATACGAGGTCACCTTTCTGGAGGACCAGGGCGGCTGGGAGCTCATGGGGCAGGCTGAGAACCACCACCGCGGAGTGTCCCTGCTGGCAAGGTGAGGCTGGGGCTCCCTGGGGCGGGGGGTGCAGGGAGGCAGAGACCCCAGCATCTTCACACACACGTGGCTTCGCGTCTGTCTCTGGGCCAGACCCTTCCCTCGGTCCATCACCTGTTTCTGAACGGCGGGGTATCGCCTATCTTGGCGGGTGGATGCCACACACATGAATAATGTCACACGGTCCGTGGAGGCTGTGGCTATGACAGTGCCCGGCAGTTGTGGAGCACTTAGCATACTTACAAAGCACCTTTTCTCGCGGTCTTGGGACGTCGGTGCCCACACTAATACAGAAATGGTGGGGTGGTCTAGTATTTCAGTGTCGGGCCTTGGCGTCGGTCTGCCTGCGTCTGAGTCCCAGCTCATCCCCTCCCCGCTGTGTGTCTCAGGGCAAGTTCCTTCCCCTCTCTGTGTCTCAGTGTGCCCATCAGTAGTGTGGAAATAGGAATAGGACCCATCGCCAGGGTTTGGGATGAGGGTTGAATAGAGTACTTTGAACAGCCCCTGGTAATGGCAAGAGCTCAACACAGGTTAGCTTTCGCTATCATTATGCTGACCAGTGGGCAGGGATTATCAACGCACATTTTGCAGAGCAGGATGCCAGAGTGCAGAGAGGGACAGTTATGCACCAAAGGTCACACAGCTAGGAAGTGGCAACGCTGGGAGATGACCTCCTGATCCAGACCAGGCTCTTCCCTTGCAACCATACACAGACTCGCATAAGGTTGGGAAGGCGTACCTCGATTTCGGTGACGTGGCTCCTACAGTCTGTTCTTTAACCCTGCACTCTGAGTGCCCAGGATGGTGCGGTCCCGGGGGTCTCATGATACAATTGCATTTATTGAGCACCTCCTGTGTTCTAGGCATCACGCAAAGGGCTGTATGCTCTGTGCTCTTGGGCGAGCTTTCTCACTCTGAGCCTCGGTTTCCCCATCTGTAAAACAAAGCAGTTAAACCAGGTTGCCTCTGAGAGCCTGTCGGGGTGGGAAATCCTGGGAACACAGGCCCCCAGGTGCCCCTGACTTGCCCAGAGTTTAGAGTGCCAGGCCAGACCCCACCCAGCAGGCCCCCGGGGCTGGAGAGCCTGAGAGGACTGCTCGCCCCTCCTCACCCCCAGGGCTATGGTGCATTACTCCTGCCAGGAGCTCTGCCGCATCCTCTACCTGCTCATCCCGCTCCTGGAGAGAGGCGACGAGAAGCACAAGATCACTGCCACCGCCTTCTTCGTGGAGGTACCGAGGGGCAGCGGGCACCGGGCGAGGCTCCCCTGGGCCTCCCGGAGCACAGACCTCAGTTCACGTGACCAGTCATTTCTCCTGTGCAAACAGTACTTAACAACTGAGAGTTTCATGAGCATGATTGCTCTAGAATACAAAGGCCTCATAGAATTTCCCTTTGGTCCTCCTCTTTCCACCCCTTCACCCCATTCTACTCTCCCCAGACTCCCCTCATGCCCAGGCAACCCCAACCTTTGCTGGGCAGTGCCATGTGCTGGGCACCAGACCTGCAAGGTTGGAGGTACAAATATGAAATTGACTCTGCCTAGCCCTCAAGGAATTTTCAATGCAGTAGGGAAGCTGGAGGACACCGTAATTATAACATGGGGTGCCATGGAGTGACCTGTGCTATGATGGCGGAAGTCCAGGCTGTGGCGGAAGAAAGGAGACTGGAGGTGGTGGTGGTGGTGGGAGCATCAGGGAGGACTTCCTGGAGGAAGTAACATCTAAGCTGAGTTGAATGTGTGGAGGGTACCAGGGGTTGCTGGGGGAGGTGAATCAGGAGGTTGGTTAGGGTCAGATCCAGAAGAGGACACCCACCAACAATTATAGCTAACATTTGCTTACTTATTTGAGGATAGATGGTTTTATTTCTTTATTTCTTTTTTTAATAGGTAACATTTATTGAGCACTTACTATCCTCCAGGCACGTTCTTAGTGTTTTACACATATATTTGATCCTCATGATAATCCTGTGGTGCAGATGCTATTTCATCCCCCAGTTTAGAAGGGGAAACTGAGGCACAGATTTAAGTTAAGTTTTCCGAGGCCACACAGCTCGTAAGTGGCAGATCCAGGATTCAAACCCAGACACAAACCCACTCTCTCCCTCCCTCTCTCTCTTTAGTTTAAAAAAAAATTGCGGTAAAATATACATAACATAAAAGTTACCCTTTTAGCCATGTTTCAGTGTAGATCCCAGGGGCATTAGGTGCAGTCACATTCTTGTGCAGCTGTCAGCACCGTCCACAGAACTGCTCGTCGTCCTTCCTAAATGCAGCCTCTGTCCCAGACTGAAACTGTATTCGTTAAACACTATGCTGCCGTTCTGCCTCCCCAGCCCCTGGCACCCAGCACTCTGCTCTCTATGAACTTGCCATTGTAGGTTTCACATATGTGGAATCATACAATGTCCTTTTGTGTCTGGCTTTTTTCACTCAACCTTATGTCTTCAAGGTTCATCCATGTTGTTAAAGGGTCTCAGAATTTCATTCTTTTTTAAGGCTGAGTAATATTCCCTTGGGTGTATATACCACCCTTTGTCTATCCATTCATGTGTCGATGGGGCTCTAGGCTTACCCTTTCCTTAACATTCCCCTGGAGCACTGAGCAGTGGCTCTCCACCCTGGGGCAAGTGTCCTCAGCCTGGTCCAGGCCTTCTCCTCCTCCCCAGAAGACGTGGGCTGCTCTCGGCCAGAGCCGGGCCCACTATGTTCACTGTGGCACCTTGACGTAGCTCACGTGTCCCTCCCCGCCTTCCCCAGCCACTTCTGCTGTGACTGTCTATGTGCGTGCTTGCTTCTTCCAACGGCAGGTGAACTCAGGGGAGCCGTGTGACCCTGGCAAGTCCCGGAACCCCCCCGTGCCTCGGCTTCCTCGCTTATAGTATGGGGATAATAAATTGCCCACCTCATAAGGTTTTGCTGAGGATTAAATGAGTTCACGTGAAGCTCTGAGAATAGTGCTTGCACCTGGGAAGCACCGTCTGTGAGTCAGCTGTATTACTGCTGTTCTTATTATCATCACCATCATCCTCATCAATATGCTTCCCTGCATCTCTAGCGTGTAGCCCAGAACCTGGTACAGAGCAGGTCTGAGCATCAGTTGGGTGGATGGGTGGAGGGGTGGGTGGAGCCTTTCCTGCCTCCTCCCCCTCTGATCCACGGCCCTGCCCCTCTCCCCAGCTCTCTCTTTTCATCATACAGACACAGGGCCTCAATAGTCACAGTGGAGGTAAGGCCAGGGAACGGATGGGAGAAGCATTCCTGAGGCTGACCAGGCAGGGGGCTGCCGTGGGTGGGAGGGTGGTGGAGAGAAGAAGGAGATGAGGGTGATGCCCAGTTTAGGGTTGGAGAGTGGAGGGCGGTGGTGCTAACCCCTGCCACGGGAACAAAGGGGAAGGGTAGTTCTAAGGAGGAAAGGAACCGAATTTCGTGTTGGACCTGAACTCATGCACCGAAAGTGTGCTCTAAGCACATACTCTACCCCAGAGCTTGTGTTAGGTAACAGGGACCCAAGGAGAGGCACTCAGTTTGTGTTCTCAAGGAAGCTCCAGAGGGCAGAGAGGTGGCAGGAGGCAGACGCATAAGTAGATAGGGGCACTGGGGTTTCCCTGTTCAGGGCTCCCAGAGAAGGGGGCAGTCCACCCAGACGAGGCCTGGGCACATTGTCAACCATGGCTTCGAGGGGGAGCCGAGTTTTAGACGGAGCCATGCAAGGTGCTTGAGTGGAAGTGGGCGCCCTTGCAGAAGGGCATCCTGCCAGCACAGAAAGGACAAAAAGCCTGGGTCCTTCCACAGACAACGGGCAGCTTAGTTAGCAGCTGGTTGGCGGTCAGAGTGTGAGGATGGGCATGGCGTGAATGAGGCCCCAGGGGCAAGTAGGGCCCGATGGTGAAAGTCAGTGGGGGGCACAGGGGCTCTGAGCTGGAGAGTGACACGTTCAGCCTCTGGCAAACTGTTTTCCAAGTCAGGAGCTCTGGACGGCGCCATAGACTAGAGACGGTGCCTTGAGTGTTATATGCCTAGGGCTGGCAGTTAAAATCCTGAGCTGAGGGGCTCACTGAGGACGGTGGGCAGAGGGAAGCCAGGCAGAGAGGACAGAGTCTGGCGTCACCAACACTGATGGCTGGGTGGGGACAGGAGCCAGTGGCTGGTACTAACTAGACCAGCACTGTCCAATATGATAGCCACCAGCCACATTGGAGCCTAGTCAGCCCCTGAAATGTGTCTGTCTGAATCAAAATGTGTTGTGAGTTTGAAATTGACACCGCATTTCAGACTTGATTCAAAAAAGTCTTAGAGACTAAAATATGTCAATAATCTCTTTATTGATTACATGCTGAAATGATAAGACTTTGGATATATTGGGTCAAATAAGATGTATTACTAAAATTGACTTCATCGATTTCTCCTTTGCTTTTTTAATGTGGCTTCTAGAAAATTTAAATTTACGCACGTGGCTTGCTTTGGACAGCGCTGACCAGATAGCAATCGTTCATGCCCCACACTTAGCCCCTGGTCATCCAGCGTGCACTCCCCGTGCGTGGGGAGACGGATGGCTGCACTGGCCCTCGGCCCAGGGAGTAATTACCATCACCCCTGCAGCTTCTCCAGATGGAACAGGTGCGGCGGATCCCTGAGGAGTACTCTCTGGGGAGGATGGCTGAAGGCCTGAACCACCAGGACCCCATCATGAAGGTGCTGTCCATCCGAGGCCTGATCATCCTGGCCCGCAGGACTGAGAAGGTGAGCAGAGGACAGAGGAGAGCTCGGCCAGCCAGGCCCCGAGCTCAGGGAAGGGTGGAGCTTGGCCATCACGGACTCTCAGATGCTGGAACCCATTTCTGCCCCTGCCTCAGTTGCCCCATCTGTAAAGTGGGTAGATAGCCTTTAAAAATTCCCCACACATTTTATTCTTTTTGAAATAGTTTCCTTTTTTAAAAAATGTTCATTTATTTATTTATTTTTGAGAGAGAGAGGGCATGTGAGTAGGTGGGGGGCAGAGAGGGAGAGAGAGAATCCCAAGCAGGCTCCTTGCTGTTAGCACGGAGCCCGATGGCGGGGCTCGATCCCATGAACTTAGAGGCCATGACCTGAGCTGAAATCAAGAGTCAGATTCTGAATCGACTGAGTCACCCAGGCACCCCTGAAATCGTTTCTAATCCAGATTTTTCACAATGACCCTGAAGGCAGTGTGTATAGGAGGGGTTGGGGATGGCAGTAATCATTCCCGTTTTACAAATTAGGAAACTGAGTCCCAGATTGTTGGTGCATCTTAGCATTTTTTAAAGAAATGTTGGTTCATTTTTGGCAGAGAGAGAAAGAGGGTGTTCACACATGAGCACAAGTGCGGGAGGGGCAGAGAGAGAGAGAGAGAGAGGAAGAGAGGGAGACACAGAATCCAAAGCAGACTCCGGGCTCCCAGCTGTCAGCACAGAGCCTGACACAGGGCTCGAACTCACGAACCAGGAGATCGTGACCTGAGCAGAACTCGGATGCTCAACCGACTGAGCCCCCCCGGGCGCCCCCATCTTAGCATTTTAAAAAGTGCTTTGTTTTCCTCTGCCTGGTGCCGTTGCAGCTCAGGGTCTAGAGGGCCGAGGGGACAGGATGTAGACTGCAAGCTAACTAGTAACACAGGCCATCTACCTAGTGCCAACAAGGGGGTGGCCACAAAGGGCCTCAGGTCTCCAGGAAGGAGTGAGTGAGGACACAGAGGACTTTGGGGACGGGAAGAGCTTGAGTGAGGGCATTCCAGGCCGGTGGGATGGCATAACCAAAAACCTGGAGGGGTATCGTCTCCACCAAGTTTATCTCAGTGAATCAGAGGCTGGGGCTCTCACCTGTCAGCCCAGGTAGGATCCCCCATCCCAGATGGTCCTGCCCCACAGACTGCCAAGGTCCAGGCCCTCCTGCCCTCTATGGTGAAGGGCCTGAAGAGTATGGACGGGCTGCTGGTGGTGGAGGCGGCCCACAACCTTAAGACCATCTTCAGGGGGCAGGACCGGAAGCTGATGGACAGCTCGGTCTATGTGGAGATGCTTCAGGTCCTGCTCCCACACTTCAGTGATGTAAGGGATCCCACGGGGGTGGAGGGTGAGAGGGTTTGGGGGG